CTGCAGAGACATCAGAAGTGCTTGTCTCATCTTCTCTGGGTTTAACAACTCCTGAAGGCTCATCCTGGCCACCAGTTCAATTCCCTAGAATGACCAGGAAGCCTTAGAGCTGCATTCCAGAAAATTATTTCATACCACCATCTCAAATTCTTCCAGTACACTAAACAGTGGGGGTGGGACATTCATACCTAAATATAAACTGGCTTCTTTCTTATGCCAAGGCTGGATCAGCTGCAGGAAGTGAAGATTTCTGAAGGAAATGGAGTTGGAAAGAAGCAATTTTGGTATACAGATCATTTTGGGGACAGAAACAGAACATGAAGAAAGCTACTCAATACAAGGACATGAAGGAGTGAGAGATGAGAAAAGGACCGAAATGATCTACCTACTTTCAGGTTTCAGAGATAAAACAAGAGGATGGTGTCACAGCTAAAGGGTACTAAAAGTAAGCTCTTCTCTAGGATTGACTCGCAAAATTCTTGCCAACTATTCTATAGGAAAATGTCACCTCACACCCAGAATATCACTCTACACTGAACTCTGGTCATACTGACCATCTGGCATGTTGGAGACTGCTTACCTGACCCCAACATGACACAGGCATGCACCTAGCTGCACACACGGAGCACCTGCCTTTGACTCTAGAGAGAAAAACACACCTCCCATCTGGATTCAGCCCTTACTATTCAGAGGGAGCAGGAAGTTGGCCAAGAGTCCAGTCTCCTCATCACACTTATTGACAATGCAGACATCCAGAAGGCATCTATGGTGCCTCAGGTTTCACAGGCAAGCTAGCTGAGGATCCTTTGGCAGAAGCTGGAGTTAGGTTACTCCCTGTATCCACCTCTCAAATTTGCAGTCTTCTCTGTTCCTTCCCCTGTGGATTTGGCTCAAAGGCATATTCTGAGATGACTCCAGATCATAAAGGTTAGCTCCCTCCCAACACTGCAGCAGTGCACAGATCCCAGCAGCTGGGGAGCACAGTCTGATGGCAGCAAGCACACACCCAATGCCCAGTCAACAAAAGCCCTCTCCCTGGAATATGGGTCTTGAGAATGACAGAGGCCACAGATGAATGGTACTGATCCATCTCAGCAGAGCCTGAAGAACCACCACTGGTTCCATACACTGATTCCTGGGATCTCTCCAGTTTTAGTCTTTCCAGTCTCTTTTTTTTTTTAAAGCTTTCCCTTAAACTCTTAAGAACAACCTTATGTTTCTACAATACATTTCTTTTTCAATTCAAGCCAGCCGGTCAGTTTCTGTTCTCCTTTCTACAGAACCCTAACTAATCCATTTCCACGTGGCCTTCCTGTCACGTATTCCAAATGCTCTTTTAATACTGCTGCTAGTCTGAGCAGCCTGAAGCAAAACTCTGACCAGGCCTCCCATATGCACAGCCAGTACCATTAGTGATTCAGCTTATTTACCAAACTCTTCTCATGAGGTGTGGTTAGATGCATCTCAAATATGGAGTGCTCAAACAAAGCTGCCACTTTCTAGTGAGGTGAATTAGATGATAACCAGGAAAACAAATGGAGAACTTTCAGCGAGCTAAATCCCTAAAGGCTGATGGGCTGCTGAAGCAGAGGGCTGTGAAGGATGGTAAGGAAAGGTCTTGTTGTCCTTAATTTTTTTTTTAATCTTTTATTTATTTGGTACAGGGTCTTGCTACACAGCTTGAACTCACAGCAATCCTCCTGTGTCAGCCTCCCCAGCACTGGGATTACAAGTATGCCCAGGGTTCCAGGGCCAGCAGGGCATGTGGTGTGTGGGATCGAACATGGGTGCCTGTGCTTGCCAGACAGGCACTTAGACCGCCGAGCTATCTCCCCATCCCTTGTTATTTTTTAGTGAGACCTAAGACCTGAATGAACAGAGCCAGCCTATGCCCTAGTTAGGCACAAAACAGTAATAGCAATGGCTCCCCATTACACTAAAATGCAAAATTTTAAAAATCATGGACTTCAAGGCTTTATAAAAACTGGCTTTCAAATTATCAGTGCTTGTAAAATTCTTTCCCATAATTACTCACTGGGATAATGTCCTGGTTCTTGTCCCTTGCTACCTTCTTTGTTTCACTACCAGATCTGCAGTTGGCTATGCCTAACTCCTCTCCAGCCCACCTTAAGTTCCAAGTCCTCTGGGAAGCTTTGTTTTATTAGGGCTGAGTTGTGCCCCCACCCTCACTCCATTCACATGCCCAATTCCTAAGCCCCTGTACCTCAGAACACAATATCTAGTGATGAGGTTTTTATAGAAATAACTCAGCAAAAATGAGACAACTAAGTTAAAATATGCATCCAGTATAACCAGCAACCTTAAAAGAAAATCAGAACAAAAACACCTACACAGGGATAACCCTGTGAAGACAAAAGAAGAGACCACCTGCAAGTCAAGCAGAGGCCATAGGAGGAACCAGCCCTGCCAACATCTTAATACAACTTCCCTGACTATTATAGCTTAAATGAACAGACACCTCCTTCTTTATGTAGTGCTTCTTCACCAGTGTATGCTGCTAGTCGTTTGTGGCTCAACAGGATGGTAAGCTACTTAAGGACTGATGAATTATTTACTATCTCCTGGCACTTTTCATAGTGCCCAGTATGGTATCCTATGTAACAATAAACAGTGGTTGGGTTTTTTGTCCTCTCCACTTAAGTGCAGGAGTGGAAACCATGTCTTTTTATTGTTTTCTTTAAGCAAAGCTAGTCACATCACTGCCCTAATTTAGAATACCATTGTTTATTACTTGCCAGAGAAAAACCCCAAACTGTACACTGACACAAAGTTCACACTGTCTCCATTTACCTCTGTACCTTCTAGGCACTCCTTACCATCTACCCTACCAACTTGCATACCCAGGTCTGCCACCTAAAATATCTTCTCTAACCTCACCTGACTTGCTTTCTGCAGAAAGATACAGATGAAACACCAGGATCTCTACAAAGCTTCTGCAACTTGGCTGGGCCAGCAGTAGCTACCTACATAGTTAGAATGCCCCATCTCTTTAAGAGTAACCCCTCAGCTATTTCAACAGCATGCCCCTGCTGTCATCCTCCAGAATCCTCATTAGGAAGAGTCCCTTTTTATCTGCATGCTCCTAAACCCAGCTCAGGGTCTGGAGACATGTGGTGCAGTGACAGTGAAATGAGGGGATTTGCTCATTGCTATTTCTCACATTACAGTGCCAGCACCTGGCCTCTTCTTTGCTGTCCGTCCAACCTCACAGCTTTAATAACTCCTAGATGATGACACCTCTCAAGTCTGTATCTCTGCTGACTAGACTCATCACAGTTCACAATACAGGTTCAGCACAGGAGTTGGGACCCACACCCTTGCTAGGTCTCCTGGGATAGAGCCTCTGCTTCCCCCTTTGGCTAATCACTGTGACATATATACCTAGTCCTTAGACAACTCTAGCGTCTGTCCTCCCATCAAGACTTTGAGGACAGGGGCTGGGGAGATAGCTCAGAAGAATAAGCGCTGGCCTGGCAAGCACAAGGGCCTGAGTTCAATCCCCGGTCCGCAAAAAAAAAAAAAAAAAAAAAAAAGACTTTGAGGACAAAATTATCTCAATCATCTCATTTGAAGACTTGCTTAATAACCCATCCCCTCTTCTGTTACTTTTAGTTTTTCAACATTTACCACTGTACACGTTTATTTCCCCTGACATGAAATACTGTAAATTCCTCAGGAGTGAGCTTATATTTTCTTCAACTTCTACTTCCATAGACTAAAGCACACTATGCTTTCAATACTGCTAAAAGGAACGATGAAGTAAGTGAAAAGTTGCATTTAAGTGTGCCAAAGCCTCAAGTGTCTTCTTTTACTTGAACCTCAACATTAAAAGGTAATGTTAACCTCTATTTGTCATTAGAGATGGAACCAGGACTTACTCCTTTCAGCACCAAAGGGTAGGTTTTAAAAACCGAGTTTCAATGAGAAATCTTAAAATGGATGAATCCACCTTTTCTCCTCTTAAGCAAGAGAGGAGAAACCGACTACCAACTGGGTAACTGATGACTCAGGGTCATGCTGGTGAACAATTGCTGGACTATGCTGTAACACACATGCCTTCAGATGCTAGGTGACAGGCAGGCAGCCCATGCACTACAGAAAAAGTCCCAGGTTGGGGGAGGGCTCCTAACTTCCCTGGGTCCCCATCATCAGGCACCTGTCCGAACCCTTCTACCGTGCTGTCCGGGCGCGGTTCTCTGCCACGGGATACCCCGGGGATTCCGAGTGCAAGGGTTGGCCCAGACACCAGGTGCAGGTCCTACACACACCAGACGTGCTCCAGGAGATCCGGGCCGGGGTGATGAAGACTGCCCGGAGAGGGCGCGGGGTGCATCGGGCTCCATCGCTTGGTGTCCAGACCCGCTTCCCCGCCCAGAGCCCCAGGCAAAGGCTGCCGGCGACGGGGTGTACCCCGAGGTCCGGCCGTCCGCAGGAGGCGCCAGGCTGCTGGGCCAACCTGGCCACCGGGCTGTCACACTCCGTCGCAGAGGCGCGGGCGCGGCAGGTGCGGGGTCCCCACGGCCGCCCACAACCTTCGGCGCACGCTCGCTCGGCCCAGCGAACTCTGCACCTGCCCAGACGGTGGCGCGCGCCCTCCCCCGCAGGGCGTAGCAACGGCTCTGCTGAGGGACGCGCGCCCAGTCTCCGCGCAGCAGCTACCTAAGGTAGCCCGGTCAGGGCAAACCGCAGCGGCGGCCCAAGGACCACGCATGCGCAGTAGGCAGGGCGAGGCCAAGTGCGGGCACAGAGCATGCGCAATGTGAAAGCACAATCGGCTACGTGGGAGATCGGGCATGCTCGGTAAACGCCACGGTGCCGCGCACGCGCAGAAGGGCCCAGAGCCCGCAACCCGCTGGTGGAGGAAAAAGAGACAAATCACCTCAGAGTTACGTCAGGAAAGGCCGCGTTTTGCAGGCAGGCTATCGTCCCCCACAGGGCCCCGCAGTTCTCCTGCGGCGAGGGACGTGGCAATTACTCACCTTTCTTCAGCTCCGAGGCAGGCGCCAGGTTCCTTTCCGCTCACACTCGGCTCGCGCGCGCCGCAGCCGCCGCTGCCGCTGTGATTCCATCCATCTTGAATTTGACGTCATCCCACACCAGGGATGAGGTCATCGCAGGCAGCGCTCGTCACGTGCGTGGTGCTGGGATTGGCCGACAGGCGCCGGGGGGCGTGGTGAGGGAGGCGCGCGATGGGGCCGGGAGGGCGGGGCGAGGGGTGTGGGCAGCGCCGCGCCGCGCGTGGGTCCCGGTGTCATCCAGTTGGCCGCGGCCCGGCGCGCTGCCGTCCTGAGGGGCGGCTGCTGCTGCGGGCCGGAGTTGGGCGGGCCCCGCACCGTGGCCGCGGAGGTGGTCGTCGCTGCAGTTCTTGTTGCTGGAGCACTTGGAGGGCCTGGGCAGTGCGCGGGCCCCGCGATAGGATGAGGCCGCGAAGCTGGTGGCCGGCGGGCCCGCGACGTGCGATAGCGGCTCCTCCTGCGTGAGCGCCTCCGGCCAGGTCTGGCCGGTGCTGCTCAGCTGCGGGAGACTTGCGGTAGAGCTGCAGATCCGGGCTTGAGACATTCGCTGTCACAGACCTGTCTTAAAAGAAAGTTCAGTGAGCAGGGCAGCTTCTTATTTTCCGTAATCCTAGTCCTCCCTCAGTATCTCGAAAGCTTCCTTTTGTTGCATGACTGTGACGACTCCAAAACCAGACCCGCTCACAGAAATACTGAACTGTACAGAGCAGCTCTCCAAAAAGGTTCTCTGGGTCAGGCCAGCTACAGAGGACAGCGTGATGTGTTCGCCAAAGCCTACAGAAACTTGCAGCACTGTTTTCCAAAGTGGAAATCCTAGACCAGACCCTGGAAAATTCCTGGATTTAAAAGTCAGCTTTAATACTTTTCAAACCTATGTTAATTTTCATGTCATGGTATGCACTTAATCCTCCATAAGGTAATAGAGGAGGTATTTGGCAAGTGTGTAGAAGAAATAATAGGGCATTAGGCTCGTGGATATGAAGAATTTGTCCCCATATCTATAGCTCTATTGTCAGTGGGGTTTGCTTCACTAATTTCTACGACTGTTAGTCTGAAAATCTTTGCACCTAAAACATTTCTCGAACTGTTTAAGAACCTGCAAGGATACCTTTATGTTTTGAGTTGTATGGCTGCAAAGTGAGCCCTTGTACTTGAAAGTGATTGCATCTTTCAGAGGGCCTTGAGTTTAATTTTTTAAAATTTATTTGGTAGAGGGTGTCACTATGCAGCCTGTACTTGTAGTGATCCTCCTGTTTCAGCCTCTCAGCACTGGGATAACAGGCATGCGCCGCCATGCCCAATTTTGGTGGCCAGCTCTGAGGGCCTGGGGTGGGGCCAGCATGGCATTCAGTAATGGGGATCCAACCCGAGTCCTTATGCTTGCCAGGCAAGCACTTAGACTGCTGAGCTATCTCCCCAGCCTGGGCCTCGAGTTTAAAGTCCTCTGTGATGTACTTGTTTATGTTCAGATAGGGTCTCCCTAAGTCACTTTTAGGCCAACCTGGGCTTGAACCTGGGATCTTCTTGCCTCAGCCTCCCAAAGTGTTGGAATAACAGCTGTGCACTGCCGTGAAGCTTAGTGCCCTTGGGTGTCTCCAGTGTAAGCAGAGAGACTGCTGAGTGTGGCAGAGCCATTCCCACCTCTGCCCTCTGATTGCTGGCACTTTACCAATTTTTTCTTCTGAGCCAATGGTTCAGGTGGCACTGTCCAGGCTTTCTTGACTCCTGTCTTCCCGGTTGCCCACATTGGTTCCTCTGACCCTGCCAGGCTCACCCTGGGACTCCGACCTTGGCTGTCAGTCTCACTGCCCTGGGAAATCACCCAGGAACTTGACCCTGGACCTTGGCACCAGCCCTGGCTCTTTCTGTACCTCCAGGGGTCAGCCTGTTACCAAGTTCTGTCCGTTGTACTGCTCATGTCTTATCTGCAGCCACTTCCTCCCTCCCCTCATGGCTTCCTCACCACTCCTCAGCCTCCAGTGTCCTTTATTCTGGCTTTGCAGCTGAAATGATCTTTTGAACAAGCAGAGGCTTCCTCCATCCTTGTCAACAACTCAGAGACTCTCCTTGGCTCCTGTGGGAAATTTGCCTTCCATGAGCACCTGCACCTGAGCCCAACCCACACACCCTTGGATAAGGGCAGTGGTGGCACACACCTGTGCTCCTAGTGCTGGAGAGGCTGAAGTAGGAGAATCTTGAAAAGTTTGAGGTTGGCCTGGGCTACTTAATGAGTTCTAGGCCAGCCTGGAGGCCTAGTGAGACCCTGTCTCAAAACAAGCAAATAAATAAACAGGGTTCCTGAGCCTTCTGCCTCTGGCCTTTGAGTGTGTTGTCCTGTCAGTCTGAGCAATCCCTCCCCACCTCCACACACGTTTTTCAGCCCCCTGGAGCTTGATGCTTCCCTGTTGTGCCCCACGCCTCCTGTGCAGGTTCTCTGTAGCCCCTTGCCCAGTGCCATTGGATTCATCCACCAGGATCCTCCCACCCCTCTGTGCGTGTCCTATTTGCCTCATCCTGCCTCAGCCTCACAATGTGCAGAGCCATGGTGGAAGCATGCTGCTTCTGTGGAGACCAGTCCCAGCCCCACCTGTGGGTGTTCATTTACACAGGATACCTTGCATCTATGAACTACCCAGTTAGAATCACCAGTGTGGATGCCCTCAGCCATGCACCCAGCAACTGCACAGCTCAGCTCAGTCTGCATCCTGCTTTTCAGTGAGTTTGTCCCTTGCCCTATCCCACTTACTAGGTGGCTGCCATCTATGTTGTTACCCCACTGTCTCTAGGTCCTCTCTGTCTACCACTAAGTGCCCCTGGGACCATACTCACCAGCCCTTCTTCTGTTCCTGGTCCCCAGCATCTCTGGCCAATTTGTTGTCCCTCAGCCAAACTCTAGCTTTACATTTGCCACCTTCTCTTCCCTTTCCTTATTTTTTGTAGGGGCAGGCAGAGACAGGGGCCTGCTAAAAAGTGTAAGCTGGCTTTGAACTCACTATGGAGTCCAAACTGGCTTTGAACTAGTGGCAGATCCTCTGCCTCAGACTTCCAAATGCTGTGATTACAGGCACACACAATCACAATTTGCATCTAACTCAGCTGGGTGCTGTCCTCCCATGGCCTCTGGTGGCCTGAAGTCTCTGCTCCAGAGTTGTCTGCCCAGTGCTTCTCCTTTTCCTCCTCCACTGTCTGTCCATCTTCAAGGTTTGTCCATTTCTCTTCTTAGGGTGGCTCCCTCTGATGATGGAGGGACACTCCTGTGCTGTCCCTCTGGCCACTGTGGGCCAGAGTCTCCTCAGCTTGAGCACCCTGCATGTTCTGCAGTGCTGAGACCAATCTTGTAACTATGTCACCAGGGCTTTGGCCTGTTGCCAGGGTGCATCCTGAGCCAGCAGCTTCTGAAGGCTCTGTTCCCTTGAAACTGGGCTTTGTTGGTGCCTAGTGCTATGAGTTTCAGAAGACTGTGAACATCAGCCATGTGAGCTGCTGGTGCTGACCAAACACAGCCCTCTGATGAGCCAGAGGAGTTGGTGTTCAGAGCAGCTTCTGCAGAGTGGGAAGTGGGATGTTCCTGCCTCTGCCATCCCCCCGTCCCAGCTCTTCTTTCATTCTGAACAGGTCTCTGAGAGCTAGGTTTGCTCAACCTGGGCTTGAGCCTTTCAATAGCCAGGCTGGATTGAGGGAGTTATGCCTGCATCCTATGACTGCCTGACCAAGCTTCCCCAACTTGGTGGCTTCCAACAGAAGTTCATTCTCTCATGGTTCTGGAGGTTGGAAGTCCACAGTCAATAGCACCAGGTTGTAAGGAAGCAGCTGGTGGGATGGTGCACCCTCTGGCCAACTCCTGCTTGGTCCTCGGTATTGGCTTTGTCCTCCAGCCCCTGCCTCTGTGGTAACAGCTCCCAGTAGTCAGAAGGGGACACAAAAGTGGGCTGCCAAGGGAGCTCTTTGTCTCAGAGTTTTTTTGTTTTGTTTTTCCTTGTACTGGGAATTGAACTTAGGACCTTGAGCTTGCTAGGAAGACACTCAGCTGCTGAGCTACATCCCTGACCCTCTCTAGAAGTTTTTAATACCAAAAAATGACTAGGCTCAGACCCTCTGAGTCAGACTGAGATCAGGACTAACCTAGTCTACTCACTTTGGAGATAGGCCCCTGAGGACTTGAGGCCTGCGGTATGCATGTGTCTGCCAGGCCTCTTGGCCACTGTCCTGTCTAAGTTGTTTATTAGAACAAAGTGAGAAGAAAAAGGGTTTTCCAAACTGGCGGCAGCAGAGTTGTCACAGTGGCCTTGCAACGCCTCTGTCATCTTGCTTGTTCTGTCTCTGAACCTCGCTGTCCCCGAGGTTCTTGTTCACTGTGACTGCAAACTACTGCTTGTCTGACAAGGCCTGGTCACCCACACTTTCCCTTGGGTTCAGGGCCTCTCTAGCTGCTGCTGTCCTCAGCCTCACTTGCCTGTCTATAACAGAGACACATGGTAAACTCCATGAGACCAAGTGCTGGGAGCTTTGAGACAGAGGCAGGGAGGTCTCTCCCAGCAGCGCAGACATAGAGCAAGCCCACGGCCACCATGGCAATGCCAGGGCTTGGTCATAACAGGATGTGCTCAGGATCCCTCAGTAATCCCTGTCTGTACAGCAGCCATAGATCAAGGGGTCTAGCATTATCCTTGACCAACGTTGTGCTGACACCTAGGCAGGCGGAGGGAGCTGGCAGACAGTCACTGCCCTGGGCCAGCTGGGCTGCAGGTCTGTCACAGCACTCAGAGTCCCTGAGAGCACCTCCCACCTTGAACTACAAGCTCCAAGAGGAACTGCACACAACGTGAATGGCTAGATGAAACAGACGAGAAAAGATCTTTTTGTTTAGTTTTAGTCTTTGTTTTTAAATCTTAGAGACTTTACCCCTTGGCATTTACCTCTTCCCTTGCAATGAGAGTTAGCTTGGTGCTTCTGATGCATGACAGTGCTGCTAGCTTGAGAAGAGAAATACAAAGCTGGGCGTGGTGGTGCACACCTGTAATCCCATAACTCTGGAGGCTGAGGCAGGAGGACTGCTAAGAGTTCAAAGCCAGCCTAGGTTACATAGTGATTTTAAGGCCAGTCTGAACTACGTAGTGAGATCCTGTCTTAAA